CTGGAAACCACACAAGAAAGCACTGGCCTATGTTTAGAGTCCATCCCTGAGCCTTGCATATAGAAATTTATTTTTTTCAGTCCCCCATGAGTTCAAGGAGACTGATTTAGGTTAATAATACTCATAAGAAAATGATGTACACAGGCAACCAGTTTACTTCATTCAAAATGATTACAAAATATTATTTCCATAAGGATCAGGTAGTGTTTAGCTGGGCAGTGCATTCATAGTAAGTGGTGCTGAAGTAAAAAATCAGTTAAATAGCTTCTGAAGAGCTTTCTTTTGGTACCACTTTGTTGCATTCTGCTGCTCATTGTGTATACACTTTATGGGGAATAAACGACAGTTCAAAGCAGTATTTGGAGATGTACTTAGCTCAATATTTATCTCTGGAAAATGCAAAGGATCCACTTTAATTCGAACATTTAATGGCACCAAGCTCTTGGAGCCCAGCTTATCTAGCTCTGTAATATTCATACTTGCCAGGAAATTCTGACTAGTCAAATTGAAAAGCCAAGGCATCTACACCCATAGACAATTCCTAGACACTCTTGGTTTCCTCTTTGATTTCTCTTTGCCTTTATCTTTACTTGTGATTAACCTCACTTTTTCTATATACTTATCAATGTCTTTAGGCAAGTTACTATCAGTCCTCATTGTTCTAGGAACCATTTTCTTTTTGGGGTAGTTTCTGGGATCATGGGCCCCCTTGCCTATTGTTGCTCTCTAAGAAGAAACCCTGAAATGCATAAGGTGTCCTTTCTGGGGAGAGTCTGTAGTTTTCTCATCATATCATTATAAGCCACTAGGGTATATTTTTGCTTTGCTTTATTATGTATATATAACCTCCTGTGAACAACCTTAGTTTATTACCTACTGGAGCCTTAATATTGTTCTTACCAATTTTTGTTTTTCCTAATTATAGACATTAAAAATTTGGTCATATTTTTTCTTAATGTTCTTGGCCTTTATTAATTTACCTGTTATCAACCTATCTATTTACGTTATTTTTTACTTTCACGTGAAGTTTCACTATTTGAGGGCAAGGCAGTTTATTGCTTTTTTCCTTTGCTGTTTCTTTTATTCCTCTAGTCCTAAAATGATATCCACAATACAGAAGTATTACACATTTCCAGTTCTCTTTTCTTCTGTTATTCTGTGTCTGATCCTTGCAACTTTAATGCTATGTAGAATTTAGTTTGGAATATGTAATGTAATGTTTCATACTTAGCTAATCATTATATTCTTTTAATAAATAAGGCCTTTAAGGACCTGTCAATACAGAAACAGGCAAATATTGCTATTATTAATGGTCTCTTAAAAGACTTGAATTTGTTGATAATCGGCCAAGGAAAGGGTCATCAAACGCAGATATATACCACCTTCAACAGGAGCCTAGAGGAACTAGAATTGCCATGCAGTTCAGTGTTCATCTTCAGTGTTGGAAACACTAGTACCAGTGGTGCCTGGCCAGCCTGCGATTTAATAACTCTCAAATTGCACCCCATGTTATTTGGAGGCTATATATTTTGTGGTTGTCCTGAAATAGCTTGCAAAGCAGATTCTCTATAATTTATCACTCAAACATGAAGAAAACATCACATCAAAATGTATCTTAAGTATTTTAAATAGACTGCCTACATTCTGTAAGTGCACTACAAATGTTCTGTAACAAATAAACCTTCCCCAGTGATTTAAGAGAGCCTCAGAAGAAGCTATACTAGGTAGATGTAGAGCATCTTTGATTAAAAAAATGAATTGGAACTATTGAGTACTTACTTAGTAAGTAAAAAGTATGGCCATATTGCAAACACCCTTATTGGTTTTAAGTATTATCACAGGAGAAAAGAGATAGTAATTTACTATTAGTATTAGTTAGTGTTATTCAACTAAGTGAGAGTTGATTTTATGAACATCACTAACAAAAATTGCTCTTAATTTTCTACACTATTTTTATCTTTTTATATAGTTTTAGGCCTAACACTATGTTAATAATTGTCCTGTATGTTTAAGCAAAATAAAATACTTGAAAAATAGGAAAGGCATATAAATATATTATCTGATGAGGAAAGTGGTGATTCCAATATTTGTACCTTTTCACAATTTAAGACATCTTTTAAATTGTGTGAAATGTACAATTTATAAAATTTAATATGCATAATGAACCCAGAATAATAATTACTTTTAAAAAACATGTTAGCTTCATGGCCCAGCTAGAGTTTTAGCACCTTAAAAAATAAAAAAATGAAAAAAGCCCACAGACTAAATAACATCTTTTAAAATATAACTTTTATTGATTTAATAGCTAAGAAGAAACCCTGAAACTCTGCACAGGGATAGTTGTTCAAAATAATTACTCAGGTATATAAAATTTTGTAAGTTGATAGAGTAATTATAAAAAGAATAATGCAGTTTTTCTTTAATTCTTATATTTTCTATAGATAAAATGGATATTTATGAAGTAATGCATAGAATCTGCTTCTTTTCCAAATACTTGATTTAAAAAAAAAAAAAAAAAGTAAGTTTAGCATTGTTTATTGTAGGAGAATCTTTTAAAGGCAATTTTACATATATCTGTGAGAATCCTTTCACATTTCTGTCAGCACTTGAATGTCAGCAGCACTGGTTTAGGTCCCTTTGAAAAGGGAGGGTCTGTGAACATAAAAGTACCTTAATAGTTTTGAGCTGGGTTGACAATTTGAGGATGTTTGGAAGATAAGATTCCTTTAAATTTTTGAACATAATACTGTTCATAGGTTCATAGGTTCTCAGGTATTTGTTGAATTTAGTCTAAGACAACTTCCAAATCTGTGTGGATGCTTATAGCATCATATGTTACCTTGATTTATATAGGCTTATTTATAAAGCCCTGTCAGTTTGATAAATAATATGGTATGTGCTTCTTAAAAGTTTCTCCTGGCCCTTTTTTCTTTCTGTTTCTTCTTAGCCTCTAGGATTGTCTTTTTCTGCCAGCCTTTTAAATACAACAGTACTTCAAAAAGTTCATAGAAAAATAGAGTTGAAAGATAATAGGAACCTTTTCATGAATTTTTTGAAGTACACTCATTTTGGTATTTCATAAGATTCTGTCCTAGGGTCTCTCTCTGTGCTACATATTCTAGATTATCTAGGCATCTTTATCCATTCCCATGGTTTTCCCAACTATCTGTCTTCTACTTTAACCTGTATTCTCATCTCTAGACCTGTATGCCCAATTATCCACATAACATCTACTGGCTGTGCCAGGCAGTCCAATGATGTGTTCAGCATTAAGCTTATTATCTCTTTCTCTCCCCATTCCCTATCCCAGAAAAAAAAAAAGCGTATGTATAATTGCATATAACTAAATAACACATACATTTATCTATCGTATATGTGCTTCTCCTTCTGTTTTGGAATGCCTGCTACAAGTAAGCATCAAGCTTGGAACTTGTAATTCATCTTCTGAATGGAGATCCTCAGCTTAGAATGTGCTCTCTATCATATGGTGACCATATAGCTTCTGAATCAAAATTTAAGGTGCATGCTCTTGCAATACAGGAGGTCTTCAAAGAGTTCATGGAAGGATTTGTATTATCTTTTAATTCAGTTTTTCCATGAACTTTTTGAAGTGCCCTCGCATTTGGAGCGTGAACTTGTTTTTGTAATTATACTACATTGCTTTTTCGTGTCACTTTATTTAATTGTCAGTTTTATAGGAGGGAGACACTAAAATAATCACACATATAAAGTTGCAATTATGATAAATACAGTGAGATGTACAGTCTAAGATAGATACATAAATATATTTTTAAAAGGTGATTTGACCTAGTCAGGAAGATCAGACAGTACTTTCCTGGGAAGTGATGATTGAATTGAAATGTGAAGTTTGAGGAATTAACCAAGTGGGATTGGGTTGGGAGGAGAAAAGAAGAGTGTTCAAGTAAGGTGAGGCAGCTTGCACAAAGATCTGGTGGTAGGAGGGTGTGTGCTATGTGTGAACAACTATCCCTGTGCAGAGTAATTTGCCATCTTGTTAGAGACCACCCCGCCATTTCCTTCCACCCTCTCCTTCCTCCCTTTCTTGCATCCTTTTTCTAAAAAAATATTTGAAGCTGAAGTTTACATTAAATAGAGAGTAGTAGAAAGCAAAATGTAACTGCTTTTCAAACTGTATAAATGACAGTGATTTGAATTAGAGGATCTATGGAATTTAAAGAAAAAACATAGCTGGGACATATCTGTAATGCAACACCAAAAAGAAGGTTTTGTGGTCGTGGTGTGTCTACTCTTGTTACATAAACATCATATTAGCATTTATAATAACTGCCCTGCTACATTTTGATAAACCATGGGTTATGAAATCCTAAGTAATAAATTCCAAAATCTTTGCTTAAATTGTAAGTGATTTCTAAGTGCATTTTTTACTTGAAGTTTAGTATTCTATTCAGTCTGTCTTGGTGTGTTTGAGAATTAATTTAGGCTGTGAAAATTCTGTTAGAATGTAAAGTGACTTTTGAACTTAACTGAAGTACTCTCTGGTCTGTGTTATTCTAAACTTGATGACTCTGTTTATTCTTTTGTTCTTGATATGCATATATATTATACTTGAAAAGTAATTCTGAAGCTTTGGTCCTCAAAACATTTCTTCAACTGCTCTTACCCAGTTCTCAAATAGGAAAATTACGTTTCTAAGCTGTAACTGTTTTAGAATCAAGTTGATTTTTTTTTTTTTTTTTTTTTACTGCACACCCTGTATTCTTAGATGGTACTAACCAGGCCTGATCCTGTTTAGCTTCCAAGATTAGACATGTTCAGGATAGTATGGTTGTGAAGTAGATTGATCCTCTTAAAAACTTAGCAATTTACCCATATTTTCCATATGCCTTGGTCCTTTGTTTTTGTTTTTTGTTTTCTTTTGTTTATTTTTGTTTTATATTTTTCGGATTGTGGCCCAAAATTCAGTGTTCGTAACTTCCTTATAGAGTTATTAAAAACTTCGTATCTGTTTTTCTTTGCAGAAAGGGCTATTGCAAGACATGAAGTCCGAGAAATTGAGCAGCGACATACAATGGATGGCCCTCGGCAAGATGCAGCTTTAGATGAGGAGGAGGATATGGTGATCATTTATAACAGAGTTCCCAAAACTGCAAGCACTTCATTTACCAATATCGCCTATGACTTGTGTGCAAAGAATAAATACCATGTTCTTCACATCAATACTACCAAAAATAATCCAGTGATGTCACTGCAGGATCAGGTAATTACCCCTTAGGAAATGCACAAATGTTTTCTGCTACTTCCTCACTCAAATTTTGTATCTCAAGGGGATAAAGTATCTTAAAGGGATATGTGTACTGATTTCAATGAATCATAAACCTCTTCCTCACTCAAATTCTGTATCTCAAGGGGATAAAGTGTTTTAAAGTTATATGTGTACTGAATGAATCATAAACCTCTTAGGGGAAGGGACTAACCAACTTTTGTATAATTTTACATTCTTCACAGTATCTGGCACATTTCCTTGCACATGGTATATATTCAAGTATTTGTGAAATAAATGAATTAATGATAGGTTGGATTTTTGAAGAGAAAATTAATGCTCTTCAGTATAGTATCCTTTTAATAGTATTAAATATTTCAGGCAAGATACCCTGCAATAAAAATTATTATATTGTCTCAACTTAAGGTTAGAGAAATATTTGATGAATACTTGTACTCAGTTTTGTAACTAAGGATCTGGCCACTTAGCTCACTTGGTTAGAGTGTGGTGCTGATAATACCAAGGTCAAGGGTTCAGATTCCCTTACCTGCCAGTTACCAAAAAATAAAAAATTGTGACTGGCCTCTTGGATCTCATCTCATCTTTACTAGTAATTTATATAAATATTAGCTATAAACTCCTAGAGAACAGGGATTGTGGCTTATGTCTTTAACATAAACTTGCCTGTTAAGTTCTCAAGAAATTTAAGATAAACAGACGGATAAGTAATTTTATCAAATAGTTTTAAGAAAGGTGGAGGAAATTATCTTATGAAATCAAGTTTATCATCTCTTTAGCAGTAGTAGCATTCCTGACTACAATTATAAACTTATCTCTATAAATATTGAAAGGGGTGAGAATTTAGCTCCATGAGAAGAGAAGATAATAATCGAAAATATTATTTAGGATCAAATACCATATTGGTGTAGCATTATTAGAAAGGTATTTGTGATAGTCCTATAGTTAGAATGATATTTTTCTGTTTGAAAGCAGCTGAACTTGTTTTATTGTAACAGAATTTATTTTTATCTCACTATTTAGCATAACTATAATTCTTACACTGAAGCAAGAGAATAACATCAATACACAATGTTAGGTTGGCTTTCTTGCTAGAGAGCTATTTGTAAAGGCTAATGGTGTATGGCATATCATCTGCCTGTATAATTCTTGGCTCTCTGCAGGATCCTCAATTACTCTTTTTCATAGAACCAAAAATCTACATCTGTCAGCCAAACCAAATAACTCTTCTGTAAGTGAGAAGAAACATGAACTATTTTTGCTAAGTGGGTCACAAAACTACTCATTATGTAATATTGTATATCTTAAGGGAAAGTATCCTAAATATACTGCTTTAATACAATGTGTTATAGGTTTTAAATCTGTTTGTATTATTGCTTTTCAGAATATACGTTGGTTTAAAAGGAACATTTCTTAATGCTCACATAATAATTTCAGATTTCCTCAGTAGTGTTTTTTAGAAAAATAATGTAAATTTGTTCAATTTTTAGAGTTATTTTGCGTCCAACATTACAAAGTTTTATGGCAGCTACAAGATGTCTGACAATGACATCAACTATTTTTTCATGAAATATAAATCTGCAGAAACTCCCCACATATGACATTTATAGGCATCGTGTAGTAGTACATTTTCCCTGTTGCATTTGGATGAGATAAAACTTCTGTTTTTCTTTCAATAGCTTGTTAGTTATATATAGAGGAGGGCGGGATATAGCAGGAGAGAAGCATAATGCTATCTAAAAAGCAATTGGATTATATAATGAGCAACACTTAAAATATGTTTGTGTGGGGGAGAGTAGAGGAATAGTCTTAATTCATTAGCTGACATACTCCATAATGTTGGCTGGTAGTTCAAAACTTGGTCTTAATTAGGAGTGGCTTATATAACAAATGTCTTCTACTATATCTGTAATTTACTTGTCCCTTACTCTATATAGAAGCAGTTCTTCAAATAAGTCATATTTTCTGCTTCCTTTTCTTTTGCACAACATGCATTTTTAATTCACTTTCAATCTAGTAAGCATCATCTAAATGTAAACTTTTAAAATTGTAATATATTTCTTAAAAAAAGTTTTTAAATATTCCTTAAATCCCATCTTGTATAACAAATTATTTTAATGCCATATTTTTGCTGTCCTTGTGTACTGTTTCATCTGCTTAAATAGGAATTAAATGACCTATTTTACTCTTCTTTCTTCTCTAAGAAATAGTTTCTAATCAGTATCTGACTCAAGTGAGACTTAAAAGACGAGATTTTTATTAAATTTGTTTTTGTTCCAAGCTTGCATTTAAAGACCCGTTTATTCATAAAAATTTTTTGGGAGGTGATCATACTCTGTTCCCTCACCTTCCAACCTCAGCAGTTCATTCTGCTTGATATCTGCCTTTAGAGCGCAGCTCTTTCCTAGACATATTTTGAACATGATGTACTAGGCACTGTGCTAAACTGTTTACATGCTTAATTATTTCTCTGAAAAACTTTAGAGGCAAAGCTCAAATGTTTTTAGTCTGGTATAAAACTATTTAATGTATAATGGTTATGCATATTCTGCTATCCTTAGAAATAGTTGTCAACTCCGCTTTCAAGTTTTCCATTTACTTATTGAGTATATAACTACATTCTTTGGAGAAATACTGAAGAGATAAAAAGCAAGGCCACATATTTCAAGGAGCTTATTTATAATTTACTTGGGAGTGTAAAACATAGACATAGAGACTATGAAGAAAGTTAAAAGAAAACATCAATTTACGATAATCTCACCAACATGTTTCACCAAAAATGTTTCTTACCAAAATGTTTAATCTGAACTTAATCCTGAGGGAACAGACAAGTTCATTATGTAGAATATTCTATAGAACAACTATCCTAGGGTCTTCTAAAGTGTCAGGATCATGACAGCCAAAAAAGGCAGGGGGAGGCACCACGCTTCTCTAGACTAGAGGAGACTGAAGAGACATCGAAATTAAATGTAAATGTATGACCTGTGATTGGATCCTTGATCAAAAGTGATAATGTCCTTGTTCACAGGCAATATTTGATGAAGTATTTAAGCGTGAAGTCTGAATGTCTGCTACTTGCTTTCAAATGGTTTAGAATTGAGTATGTATGTGCACATATAGAGAGAGGGAGAAAAAGATAAATAAAAGTGGCAAAATGTTAACAATTAATGAATCTAGGTGAAGAATATACAGATGTTGACTGTACTATTCTTTCAACTTTTGTGTAGTTTAGAATTTTTTTTAAATTAAAGAGTTGAGATAAAAGAAGAGGAAAAGTTAAAATAGTAACATTAAAAGATAAACACTGGAGAATATAAAGCATGACACACTAAGTAATTAGAATGAGGTGGACTTTGTCATGAGAGTTATGTTCTTAAGATGGGCTTTACTCAGTTAATAGACAGGAATTAGCAAGGGACAGGTAATCAATCAACTCTTCTAGTTGGAAAATGGAATTTGCCCTGCTATCATGAAAATATCTTTACATTAGAGAACATCTTGTCTTTAAGATAATTATTCCAAATAGGCATGACTGGCAGCATCTTTCATGCTCTTTCTTAATTCTTTTTTGCTCTCATGTGCTTAAGTCTGTGATCATGTTTAATCCCTTTCTGTTAAGACATCGGAAATATCTAGAATTTGTATTCCTTGTAGGACAGCATTTGTAACACAGTTTTTTTCTTTTAATTCACTCTTAAGCCAACTACTGATCATTTGCATTAGAGCCCACAGTTTGCTGTAAGTTACATCTACTTCTCAAAACAACACTTTAGATGAGTGCTCTCAATGTATAATGTACATGCTAATCACTGGTTAAAATGCAGATTCTGATTCCGAAAGGCACAAGGAGCCTGGTATTCTGAATTTCTGAAAAGCTTACACTTGATACTAAAACTGATGCTGCTGGTCCTTCTCCTATGTCTCCTACAAAATCCAAATTTTTACCTAGGCCAACAGGTCCTTTTTAATCTAGCTCTTGTTCATTACTCCAAACTCTTCTCCACTAGCCACATTGGGCTTTTGGTTCATTGAACACACCGTGCCTTTCTAACTTCAAGGCGTCTGTACTTATCATTTCCTCTTAGAATGCACTTTTCCTAGCTTCTCCCACAGTTGGCCTCTTGTTATCCATTTAAGGTTTCAGCTTAAATGACATCCTCTTAGAAAAACCTTACCTGGCTTTCCTATATATTAAATACCTCTTCCATGTTACTGTGTATTATCACTCTCTCTGTATCTTTTCTAGTACTAATCAGTTTATGAATTATCTTATATGTTGGTTTATTTACTGTCTCTTTTTCTCTATTGTAAATTACTTAAGGGTAGGAAGCTTGTCTGTCTTGTTAACCACTGTATTATCCCTTGTGCTTAGAACAGTGTCTGAGACATAGTAGATACGCCAGAATTTTTTGTTAAATGAATGTGAATGAGTAAACAAATGAACCAACTTAGATTCTGATAGTAGTTCCTAGCTGAGCATGACACCATGATGATAATTCCTGGCAGAGTGGGCCCCTCTGATTGATGGGTGTATGATCTATTCTTACCTCTCAGATGACTTGGGAACCCCCTGTCCACTCACCCCCACAAGAAGTTGAACAACACAGCTCTAAACATTAGTAAAGATATGTTCTGTTGCTGTTCAACTTTTCTTATACTTTTATCCAAACACTACTCAGTTTTCCTCTTAATTTAGAAAACTTCCTCTCTGGTTTAGTCTCCAAAAGTACACAGGGCTGTACAAGAAATGTTTATTTTAAGTAAATGCATGAGTAGGAGTTGGTATATAGTAATTACTCAAGTTAATAGTAGTATTCATTTAATAGATAGCAATTACGAAGTTGGAATTTGGCCAAGATGCTCAGGATGACATTCTTACTCTTTTAGATAGTGAAAACAAGTTCTTTGTGATCACAGATAATTATAACGTTGAGGTTACTCTATTAAGAATGTAGGTCTAGATACTGCTGTTAAGGAGA